CTTATGATGAGATATCTTTCCAAATAAAAAGGTAAATTAAAAAAAACTAAGTATGACTCTTTAAAAGTGTTTAAATTAAATTTATTCGAACAAAGGATTTTCTATTCTATTCTATCTATGACAAACGTAAAAAAGAATCAAGTATTGACAATCAACCAAATTATTTGACATTAGTAAAAGAGATAAAGTATTAAATGCTGTTCCAATGTTATTTCTAAAACAGTGATTTATTCGATTACACGGATTGAAGTTACGACTCTCATTTTATTTTATGTATTGCGATAAGTTTTTTACAGATCATGAGTTCATACAGAGTTTTAATGGGATGCCATTACTTATACGGTGTTATAAAAGCAAATGTTTTAAAAGAAAAAAATGTGTTTAATGAGTATTTGAAAAAAAACGTACGTGTAAAATCTTTTGTTTCAATTGCATTGCATTCAAACGTTATTTAATATACTGTATTATGAATGTACCTATTCTTATTACGGATATAATAAATATAGCAGTTATCAATAATTGTCATTACTCTAATAAACTAAATAAAATGAATAAACATCGATGAAGGTATTCGCATATTTGCATGCTTTAGTTATTGAAGAAAATTAAATTAAATTTTGAATATATATTAGAGTAATTATAGCATAGAAATAATCTTTATTGGAATAAACATAATATAAGCATATTTATATAGTCATATTTTTTTATGCTACCACTCATTCGGAACGCAGTCTCATAACAATAAGAATGAACAAGAAACGTCCGTGTTGATCTAAATGTTGTTAACGATAAACTATATGTGTATACATGAATATGACCTGATCAGTAACCTACACATAATACCTTCATCCGTTGCCATTCAGGAGGATCTAGATGTCATATCTCCGTATCTTGTAATTTCCGGCCATGTGCTTCTCTCCCTTCAACCGTATTTAATAGAGTATACAAAGCTGTTTAGCATTTGAAATAGATGAGAATGAAGAATCACTTTGCACAAAGTCTACTTCGTTACATACATATATTATTCTATTTACCATGTATTCTTAATACATAGTTATAATATTTAAAATGTTATAAAAAATTAATATGTGATATTAAATTTACCTGGAAGGATGTAATTACAAATAAAGTTATCTAGAGAGTTGAAATTCCAGTTATGATACGACAACGAAAGGAAATGTAAAGTAAAAGTTGTATGTTCTTTCAACTTATAACAGAAATTAGATGAGAAATGTCGAGACACTTAATACGAACAGTATTATAAAAGGTAAAAAAGAAAGAGAGAGAACGGACCTAGATAAGAAAGAGATTGTGCGATAGATTCGTTTCGGGTAAATCCTACTTAAATTAAAATTATAAAATGATTGTCACACTTCAAATTGTGCAAACTAATTTAAACCTTATTAACTAATTTAAAAATATATATTATTTTATGCAGTTTATTAGCAAACAAGCTGACGACCTTTAACCGCGAATAGAAACTGTCTCCTATATGCCTAACTACAGAGAGTACATTATCATATGACATCCTTGATATCACTCTTCTGTTACCATTCCAGAGGACTAAGGTGTATTTTAAGTATTTTTTTAGTAATGTTACTACTTATCATCCCAGTAAAATTCTGTTATAAAATTAATTACGATTCTGACTGTCCTTTTAATGACTTTATCTAATTAAACTTAATTTAAAAAGGTGTGTTATATCAAAATGCTAATTGGATCTAACCGGAGTTTCTTTCTTCTTTTCAGGATGTTTCTTCTTTCTCCTTCTTTAACACGGGGTCGCCGATTGTAGCACCTCTCTGATCCGTTTCAATGCTGTATATATGCGATTTGTATATAGCTAAAACTAATTTAAGTAAACACCTGTTTTTATTGTCGGTTACTTACCAACTATATGTAATATTATATTATCTATGGCACTATATCCTGTGACTTTAGTCGTACCATTAAGAAGATATAATCGTAGAATTTATATGAAAGATTTATAGAATAAGGAATAATTTGACAGTATGTATAACTCGCTAGTATATAGTAATGACAATATTGAAAATGGTAATTATTATTTAAAGACATCATTGCAAATTTACATTTCGTCGTACATTAAATGGTTTATTTAATTGTTTTGTAACTAATGATATCAATTTGTTCGTAATGTCGTTGTAATTATATTGACCACACTATGGTATTATATTAATCATTATTATATTAATTCAGTAGTAAAATACATTTTCTGAGTAAGTACAGCAATAGAAATATTTAAAAAATAATTATATAACTAAAATTATTTCAAATTAATATATATATTATTGCTTATTTTGAAAACTGAGGTGCAATTGAAAAGTATGTAGAGATGTATCGTATTAGATTGTAACCTCATTACTTTACCCTCATTACATTCTATTTTAATTAGCTAACTTGATGTACATCATATCATTATTACAAACGAATTCTAAGCGTTTATGAAACAAACGGCGTTTAATTAAGATTATATGAGAAATGTGTCAGGTAACAACATTAAGTACCCGACAATCATTTACTGTTCTTCCTCAAGTTACGTAAAGTCAGATTTAAGTTCTACAGTCTCCGTTCCTTTGAACTGTTGTGATTTCTCTAGTTGCTACACGTATTTTGGATATTCTGGTACTTGGAAAGTTCGAGTTGGAATCTTGTTACAAACCAATATTAGACGAGAATGTTTTGTTAGCATGTTGGCACTAATACTACATACAAGTTAATTAATTAGGTATACGTTTCAAGTTCTTAGGGGTTGGTTAATATCTAAACCTTCAAGTAGATAACCATAATCATAATGATTTTCAACATAATATACTTAGTTTCAAAACCCTTTAAGTTTCATATAACTATATGCACGGATTTAGAGTTCGTTTTTGTTGAGACGGTAAATGTAATATTCTATGTATATATCGACGTCTAGACATACCAAATCCCACGCAAATTTAGAAAAAAAGTCTTCCTTAGTATAATTAGGTACTTATATAAACATAAGAAACAGACTTAGAAACTTTTAAAGAAGAGAATTATTAAAACTTTGAGAGTCTTTGAAGATTTCGATATTTATAGGAGTTATTTAATTATGTACATGTCAAAATATTGCTAACAATTTTGAATAAATTTATATCTAAAAGGTAGACTGACTTACGGTTCGATAAATAGTCAGTCTAGTGTACGTTTTAGTTATCGAATCGAAATCTTATCGTATCCGATATCGACTCTGCAGTAGTCGATTGTAAACAATAGTACATAGTAATTTACCAATGGTTATCTAGGATTTTGATTTCATTCTAACTCGATTACATATTATATTATTCTGTACTATTATTATTCTGGTCTAATGTTTATTAATTTGATTACATGGTTGGTATCTAATTAGATTGCATATAATGATATATTATATATTTGTTGATACTGTGTGTCTAAAATAATTTATATCTGCTTTCAAAACTTTCAAATCGCTTCTTTTTGCAAATGATCATAAGTTTATTATGAAAGAGGTCAGAATTTTGCTCTACATATATATACGGTATACTATCCAAGTTGGTTAAAAGAAAAGTTAGGCCAGTTAGCGCACACTAGTAGGCTAACCACTACATTACGAAGAAGAGTCATGTAAAGAATGTCATGACGTGACATGCATTTGTCATTGCTATCGGACTACTAATCTTTACTAGTGACTATCTCCTTAACATATACAATTCTTTTCCTTAATAATTACAATTACAAAACTGCACATTGAATTTCTAAAGTTCAATTTACAAAATTAAAATATGAAATAAACATTTTTTGATATGCTTGTCAAAATCTTCCTGCACTTGTCACTTCTGAAGATCAATGAGGTAACGTCGATGCTTTGCTAATCAAAATCTTGTGGTCAATAATGTGGGTTATACCCAAACCGTATATTTTTTGCTTGTTTTTATTATTAATATTTAGTGGCTGTCTAACTTCTAAGTAACAATCCAGTTTAGTTTTTGTATTCTTTTTATGCTTTGATAAATGTTGGTAGAACCACAGATAACATAATATGGTAGAACTGTAGGTGTATTTAACACCTACAGTTCTTTTTAGATTAGCTTAATGTAATAAAAAAGGTTAAAAAAACATATAATAAGTTAAAAAACAAACATCAAATATTTCCAGTTAGTAGCTGTGATAAAAGCCGATGCTGACGATGCCCCGCTATGTATAGCATTTCTTCGAATTTTCAGTTTATAGAGAAGTTGTGTTTCACATCACGCATAATAAGTAAATTCTATACGACATACAATATCATATGCTAGTCTCTTTTTGATCTACAAATTGTTTTATCAGACTCAGATATCTTACTTTTATTTCTAGTTGGCACAGTAAATAGAGTTTGTGTTGGTTGGATTGATTTAAGTCGATTACTTTCATTAGTAAATTTGTATATTAGTATATATACATATATATACATAAATTATTTGTACATTTTCTTTGAAAATAAAATAATCATTTTATAATACCTTTACGACTATTATCCCAGATAACGTAGCCATATCAATTATTTTAATTATGGTGAACGCACCACGTGACATGCCCACATGAAATCCAACGTATGCTAAAGCTTGCCGCCGTCTATAGTATTTCTATCACCAGATAGTCAGAAATATAAATTTATATATAATTTAGAATTGATTTGACATCGCGACTTTATTCCTCCCTACTACTTACTAAAAAATAAAATTAAGAAGATATGTCATATTATTTACACAGTGTGAGAAAAAAAGCAATTAACAAAACTCCAGACATCTTTTATAGACCCTTTATAAGGTACTGGTTTTGCGGAAAAACCGCTTTTACCAACTGTCAGGGTATTTTAAAAGCGTAGAAAATACGTCACCTAACTTGCTCATAAACGTCACCACGTTATCTTTGTCTCGTTCTGTTTAATGCCGTCTCATTTGTTAATTGCTTATTTGTGTATTCGTAGTGTTTTATATATATAAATCGGTGACAATAATTCTTAGTTATGTTTACATATGCTCGTGTATAAGACGATTGTAAAATTATTCTCTGATTAAGAGGTTATCATTACTAATCGACTTCAATATTAAAGTATTTATGTGAAGCGTAGAAGAACAGTTTTACATTTATACATTACATATTTTTTTGTACAGTTATAAAAGTGAAGTGTTATTTAAAAAAAGGTAAGTAATTAAATGTTCTTATAATTAAAATTGTACTGATGTAATTGTTTCCTAGTATCTTAGAATTAGTCTTACTTAGTTACTGTAATCATGGCCATGACGGCTTGGTATATTATTTAATTTCGAATTTTCTTTACGTATACTGGTGTGTTTTTATTTCCTGAATTTCTATAATGCAAAAGCAATCTTGACAAGACGACATATTTAAAGATAAACTTAAAAACACTTATTCATACAGGATAAGTCACTTCATTTTTATTAATCACTTTCCCTACCTTAGCTAGTTACGTTGTTCTATTCCCATATAATTTGTACTCTTCTTTGTGCTAAATTCATTTTTTATCTGCATATTTTTATAATCTATATCTTTTATTTATAATAAAACTTATTGTTCCTACATGTAAATACATATTTATGTAAGATGAACTTCTGTCCCACTGCTGGGCAAAGGTCACGCCTTTAAACCTCTCTATCCTGAGCTTGATCAGCTCTGCCTTGCTCATTGGAATTTCAAATCACCTTGCCTGTGATTGTTAAATGTAGAGTATACGATATTGTATACTGACTATGCTATTACAAACTATTTTATAATCACTAATGACGGCATTAGGTAAACAAACGAGTGGAGAAACGATTAAGAATTAACAATGCAATTATTAATTCAATCATTAGTTATACAAAATCAAACAGAACATATTATAAATACGTAATAACATTTATATACGATGCCTCGGTGGTAACGGTTTAGCACATCGCTTTAGTTTAGATGGTCGCAGGTTGGATACCGCGCGCGGTGCAAACATTTGTGATAATAATTGTCTGTATCAGTCTGGGTGTTTTCTACTATATGTATATTATGTACCTATTAACAAGAAAAAGGAGTTGTAAGGAAGTTCTAAGAATTTATATCAGTTATCTAGTACCTATAACAAAAGCTCTGCTTGCTGTGGGACTAAATGATGTTATGTTAATTATCCTGGGTTATTTATTTATTTATACATATAATGTAAATTATACAAGATACTGCATAACATTGTAATGAATTCATGATCTATATGCGTGGAAAAAGATGCAAATACCTTTGCATTTACGTACTAAACTTGAATTATTCATCTAGTAAGACCTACATACAATATCATCTTTTAAACAGATAATAAACTATAAGTAATTGACTGCGAGATCTATTTATTTCCGTATCTATAATGCATGTATTGCCTATTATATACATTTGAATATTAAATAAACAAAACCTGTGTTGTTTATAATCTTTGTCCACCGTGTCTATATATGAACAATGAGATATAACAGTAACTATGGATAACATGTAACACCTGTGGTATCCTTGTTGTCATTCTAGAGGATTAAGATGTCTCCTGTAATTTTACTGCGCAATCTGCACCTTAACGAACACTCTGTTAAAAATGGGCATAATTTAAAATGATTTCTTATCTTATAAAAAAAAATAATAAAGCTGGATAATTCACACAACGACAACTAGTCCTAAGCTAATCAGAACTTGTATTATGGTATATTTTTTATATATTACATTAACAAAACCAGGACTAATAGAAACCATCATAATAAAATATACAAATGTCTGCACCGTGTGAGTAATCGAACTGGCGACCATCGGAAGTAAAAATAAAAGATCACTGAGGCAATCGCATCTCGCGGCGTTACTGATGTGAAATCAGATGTAGTTATATATACATATACTCGAAGGAAGTATTCGCGTGAGGTATACACCTCACGCGAATACTTCCTTCGAGTTTTTAAGTGAGTCAGAGATCCATAAATTACGTCATGCTGATCACATTTCTGTACTCACTTTCTCTCTATTTTGACTTTGCTGTAGGGAGAAAGGGTATCAGAATATCTTATTTTTTGCAATTTAATATCTACAAATTATTAATTTAAAACAGCGTGTTATAATACTTACATAACTATATTACTTTTTTATTTGTGACGTCTCGATATTTAGAACCCCTGTTACACATTATTATATATACACGCTTTCTTAAACCCTTCTCCTTAACGAACCGGAACTAACTAATTGTAACACAAATTATAGTTAGAAGAAAAAGTAAGAAAATATAAATAGGATTAATATCATAAATTAGATAAATTGTTTTGTAATAATATCTAGTTATTATAAAAGGTTTTCATGTGTATGCATTTGCATTATATATATATATAAGTATAGTAACATTTACCATTATTATATACGGGACATTCCCGGTTACATAACTTGTTCATATCTTAACATAATAAAATTATTATGATGTCATATTATAATAAAGCTGGACAATTTACACAACGACAACTAGTCCTAAGCTAATCAGAACTTGTATTATGGTATATTTTTTATATATTACATTAACAAAACCAGGACTAATAGAAACCATCATAATAAAATATACAAATGTCTGCACCGTGTGAGTAATCGAACTGGCGACCATCGGAAGTAAAAATAAAAGATCACTGAGGCAATCGCATCTCGCGGCGTTACTGATGTGAAATCAGATGTAGTTATATGTATACCTCACGCGAATACTTTCTTCGTGTTTTTGAGTGAGTCAGAGATCCATAAATTACGTCATGCTGATCACATTTCTGTACTCACTTTCTCTCTATTTTGACTTTGCTGTAGGGAGAAAGGGTATCAGAATATCTTATTTTTTGCAATTTAATATCTACAAATTATTAATTTAAAACAGCGTGTTATAATACTTACATAACTATATTACTTTTTTATTTGTGACGTCTCGATATTTAGAACCCCTGTTACACCTTATTATATATACAAAGTTACACTTTCTTAAACCCTTCTCCTTAACGTAACCGGAACTAACACAAATTATAGTTAGAAGAAAAAGTAAGAAAATATAAATAGGATTAATATCATAAATTAGATAAATTGTTTTGTAATAATATCTAGTTATTATAAAAGGTTTTCATGTGTATGCATTTGCATTATATATATATATATATATAAGTGGATAAACTGTCGGCAGCTCATAGATAATATATTCATAGTAACATTTACCATTATTATATACGGGACATTCCCGGTTACATAACTTGTTCATATCTTAACATAATAAAATTATTATGATGTCATATTATATTCAAATTAATCGTGTCGTATCATGGGATATTATTTAAATTCGCTACAACGCTGCTCGACGTATTTCAATAATAATATTCTAAAGTAATCCGGTTATACAGTTAGTGTTAAATAACATTATAATAATTCTATTGACTGTATCGTGGGAAATCCAAAGGATTGTGAATCAAAATATTACCGTATACATTTTAAATACAAAGTATATGTATATATCTTTAATAAATGTCATTGCAGTATGTATTTGATATTTATCTACATTTTTATAACTAGTTATAGTGGCCAATGGTGATAAATAATGATATATGTTACCTATCTTTTATCATAGTGGATAACAGCATGTATTTATTTATATAACTTTAATTCACAAATTACAGAGGTATATGTATATGGCGGAGTTAACGCTGTGGTATTTTCTACCAGTCAACCATGAATGGTGCGTAGAGATAAGTTGTTGGCTGCAAAAACTATTAATGATTAATGCCCATCATGTTATAGTGCAATAATTTTCGTAGTATCTCTAAGTATCTTTTCAGGCAACAAGAATGAATTCATAATCAGTTTTATTTAACAATTCGTATAAATACACAATACCATGTATGTTATACTTTCTTCAAGTAATTAATCAATTTTTTTAAAATAATTAATAGATTATTCCTATGCCGATAGTTTTCAACAGCATTGCTATCCCTCGGCCTGGAATAACGTGATAATTTGCCACTCTATGTTTACAGCACTGGTCATGAAAACTTGCTACTACTATTTGTACCTACTTTCCCGCCCAATTTTATACGATAACTTCTACGCTATTAATTAGTCTACTATCAACACTATTAATTAGTCATAAAATGGCAACACTTTCATTAAAAAACTTCGTAAACATATAAATTTGCATAAGCGACCGGTTTTGATAACTACATGTCATACCTAACCGGTTATATTAAAGTATAACAAAAAAATGTATGTCTACTATACTAGGTATAGGTAATGATATAATATCTGATACAATTTTTTAATTAGTTTAACAGGTTTTTGATATAAATGTTAGCAAGACTGGTCCTTTTTCAGTCATTCAAAGGTTTTGATGCCACGCGTTAATTATATATTTCATCGAAATTGGAGTTTTTTAGTATTACATTGTAGAAATGAACCTATTATGCTGTTTCTGTAGCTTATCCTTAAATTAAATTTTACAGCAAATTGTAGATAACTCGAATCTATTATTGTGTCTGCTGTTGACAATACATACACCTCATCTGTCTATGAACTTATTTTGGACAAATGTATTTGTGCTTTGATATACTACTAGCCGCCTTCCTACTACTTGCCTGTCAAGTCAACATCCACGCGGTCGCTCTGAATACTGGAGTTTATACTATACTTATTAAATTCGCTGCGGTATACTAACTAACCTGTCTTCATTATCATCCTGTCATCTTCTAACCGTTTCCCGATGTAATGTACTGTAAAGTTCAAGTAACGATAATATCATTTCATAATCATTCACAGAAAGACATCTCTTTTCAATAATCAGGGGATACACACTCTTATTTTTTTAATCATGTGTACTAAATGAAATTTTACACATTTGGTTTCAGATCCCAACATGAAGAATTCAATTTTATTCGTTATATCTGCGCTAGTGGTTAGTTGCTTCGCCCAAAGATCACCTTACGCTGGTCGATTTCCTATTGGTTATCCATCATTAGATTCCACCACTACCACTACCACCACTGATGGTGGTTTGGATAACAGGTGAGCTTAAGATTATTCCACAAGATTTGTCAATATCTTAACATAGTCGTAGTTGATTTCTGTACGATTAGTACTTTCAAACTACGTAATTAAAATCTGTTTAATCTAGTCTTCAGCAGTTAAGGTAGAGTGATCAAGAGTAGGGTTTTTATATTATACAATACATGCATATAACTACAGATAAACCAAAAAAAATTTGACTTGTAAGGACCCGTGCAAAATTGAAGCGGGTTATATTGTTATTGCTACTCAGTGGTATAATTATGCAAAATAATTATTTACAATTGGAATTGGCATTTAAAGATATCAATTTATTGAAAACAGCCTATCATATGCCTATTTAACTAAAATCCAAACATTTACATATAAGAATTATAATTATTTAAAATTAAGATATTTATATTCTTAAATGATCTTGAAGTAAATACTCAACAGTAAATAAAACCTTTCAATATAAAGATACAGTTTTCAATGTTACACCAATATCTAAAAATAAACTAACTTTTTATATTACATGGTATACAATGTAATACACCTAATTTCATAAATTAGCTAATACATCAAATAATGTGCAATTAACGAGATAATTTATAGAACTAATTTTTAAGAGTACTGATTTTAACGACAACACCTGTGACATATTTTTAATATTTTTTTTCAGATTCGGTGAAGATGTGACGACAACAACGACAGAGCGATTACCAATCGAAGCCAACGGCGATAGAGACTTAGTAAATCGATTGAAAAAACTACCCATCGATAAACAGCCATTCTGGCTGATTAATTGGCTTCAGTTGGAAGAAATGAGGAGAAACCCACAAACTTACCAACAAAAACCGAATACTTTCGTAGATTTCATACCAAGTCAAAACAATCAGAATATTGACAGTCAATTTTTCTTCTAAAATTATTTATGAATACGGGATAATCATATGTTAACTCGAACTTATTTATTCATATATAAGCTGTAGGCTTTTTATGCACGTCTTATTTTTTATCACCATCCCTACCGTCCAGTTCTACTAGTTACTTAAGTTGAGAAGATCTAGCAAGAAACTCAGCTGATACATGTTGTTATGTCATTATTTTATTTGTCAGTCCCACTTGTTAACACATTACAGCTTTGTAAGAGTTGTATGTATTTATTATAAAAAAATATCCGTGCCCGAACAATTAACGACATACATGAAACATATTCCAAATAATTGTCTAAAAAATTATAATATTTATTCGATAAGTATTTTTTAATATTTTTTATATCTAAACGAATTCTGGGACACCAAGCTGCTATATAGAGGTATACAACAATGCTATATATAGGTACAATAGTAACGACTCAACTCAGCCTGTACAGCAGATACCTAGACTGAATTAACTTGTATTTAATTTTGCCAATCCATATTTTTTTTAATTTATCTATCAATTAATTTATTATAAGGCGGTTCCCGAGAGTTATAGAGTTGTAATAAACCTAATTCTAAATTAATGAAATCTTAATTTACCTTAAACAATTATGTAATCAATAATAAGTTATAAGTAGTGTTTATATGAATGTTATTGTTTAAATTTGTAATTATTAATAATAAATTTCATGATAATCAGATATTGTAAATACAACATCAAACTTATTAAACCAACATAAATTTTCTGTTTTATTTTTGCATATTCTGAATAAGACCTAAAGTTAAAAATTATCGATAAATTGGTCTATATGACCGTTGTTGATTAGAAATCGTAATTTGTTTAGAAAATCACGAAACTGGAAAATTCGACGAATAATGAATACCAATGTGTGCTTGATGCTTTCAATTTAATTTAAATACGGTCTTTTGTATCATGTACCAACTGATCCCATTTAGGGAGAAGTAGATAATTAATTAACTGCATGATAAAATCCGTAACACAAACATCCTCGGAATAACCGAAGTCCTATTCATTTATAGCCAAAGGATCTGAAAGAGGTAGTTTTAAATGATCACATAGCGCAAGAAATAGGGAATGGTACCGAAAGGTAAAATAATTTCCCGGTAAAATAATAAAAATGTATTTTTTATATACTAGCGTATAGTAAATGTATTTTTTATATACTAGACACCCGACTTCTTACGCATAGTAAATATTACGTTATTCCTACGATATATTCTGTAACATACCTGTGTAACTACAACGCATACGTTGATTAAAAAGTGTGCACATGACTTTTTCAGATTTCATTATATAATTATATATGTGATGAGTCTAAAGTTAGATCACTTTTAAGTTTATTTTTGGAAATAATGAAATAATACTAAAAACTATAATAAAGATTAAAAATAAACACCACTAATGGATATATCTATTCCAGTCCTATTATAATAGTAAACGAGATTTTACCCTTATATTGAGGAAAACAAATTGATATTTAGGTATAATAAACCTTGACCCTGTTTACTACCTACTGAATATTTTTGTCTTTTTTTACCTAATGATACTTTTGAATGCGAATGAATTCGTCTACGTGAAGTTAAATATTTAGATCATCATATAGAATTCTCATAATACGTTCAATTTTAGCATGTTGCATAACATAATATACAAACGGTAATATATGCAAATGTATAAGTTTAGGGTATCCATCAACTAGACACAATTTTGCTGTAAATATAAAAATTTTAAATAGAACTGACAGTCTGCGTAATGTAGTGGTTTAGCACACCGCTTTACTTATGGTCGCGGGCTCGATTACAGGCACGGTGGAAACATCGGTATCAGTTTGGGTGTTTTCCATGTATATTACGTATTATATTTACAAAAAAATGTGTTTTAGTATTTATATCAATTGTTTAATACGCATAACACCCTAGTTCTGCTTGACTTGGGACGTCTACCCTGTACGCGTTATTTTTTTTTTTATTTTTATTAAAATGAAAATAACATTAAACTTTATAAGTTCCTTGTAAATCTCTATTATGGAATTATTTTAATTTATTTCATTGAATATATTCTAAAGTCTTTCAAAGGTCCATTTTTATTTTTCTAATTCGGGTTTTTATTTGAAAATTTATGAGTTCTAGAAAATTGTTAAACTCGGGGAAATGGAGTAAACATTTTAGAGCCGTCTCTCAATTAAACAGTGCTATTTGGAACAATAAAAGCTGGCTCTGTTGATTATTGTCTCAAGTTAAAAAAAGAGTTGTAATTTTTACTTTATTTCAGTGTCTATCTTTGCCAATTTTAATTAAATTGTACTGTTTCTTACTGGACTGTACCTATGACCATCTCGTGTGAATTTTGTCAAGAGTCTTACAATGATGAAGATAGTTGGTCGCGGATTCGATTCCTCGCACGATACAAACATTCACGATTATTCTTAGATTACACAACACGTATTCATGATTATTCTTGTTTCCATTAGTTTGGCTGTTATATATTTATAAATATTATTACAATATTTATTACATAGTATTTCTACCACCTAGCTTAACTTAAGAGTAGACTGTGGTGTAGGCATTGCTCAATGTTATTTTCTTTTGTTTTTAGGGAACATATGTATTAAAAAAACATATAGTATATTTACAATTGCAAAGAATAATTATTACAATGTATTAGTAATAGATTTTCTATAATCTATCTAAATAAGTATACACAAATGAAACGTCGCGTCGTAGATTTGTTTTTGTTGTAATGTTAATCGTGTAAACGTTACATTTAAATAACAAAAAAGATATATATCAAGAATTGTTATGTTCTTGAAAACTATTTAAATAAATATAAAGAGGTTTCTGCTAATTTATATGTATACTGATAACCATGGTGTTAACAAATATCTATCGAATATATTTCTCGGTTGAGTTTGTTAAAATACTTAGATTGTCGTTATAATATCAGACTAGATAAAGTAAATTATAGGTAGATTTCATATATTGTTTATAGACGATTGGGATTATAAACAAGCTGACTACGGACAGCTGTTATCGTGATGGACCATAGTCTATACACATGAACAGCAGCACGGTTATCACATCACATCTACTCTGATCACATTGGTCGAATGTTGATTGAGGAAAATGTCATGACGTTCATGAACTTTCGAGAACAATAAACACACTTACGTGAATGAATTATAAAACCAGATGAAACAGAAAATAAGTATTTAGCATTTCGTTATATCTGCGTAACATCTATGACACTTAGCATATCGGTAGAAAATCAAAATGTTATATTTAAACTATAAAAAGTTACGTACAAATAAATTATAGTTAATTTTTATCTCGACACGTCAGTGTTAAAAAATAACGCATCATAATCGGTCCATTCGTTTAGAAGCTTGGATGCGACAGATATACAATATACATATACCGACAATATACATTTCCAAAATACCGAAATATAAGTAAATTAAAAATAAATATAAGATACAGGAATCTATAACGGTTTTTAATTTAATTCAATTTCTTTATTATATAATATACATTCATATGATAATATGTCTTTGTAGTCGAAATCTTTATATGTATTTTCTTTCTTGAACATGACATGTTACCCAGTATTTTCATTAAATATACTAGGTCTTAGTGAATAACTCTTAGGGTTGTCTCTTGGTTTTTGATAGTAATTTTGATTTAAATGCAAAAAGGGTTCAGGATAGCCGATGGGTCGTTGTCCAGCATAGAAAGGACGCTGGCATAAACAGGACATTGCACAGGCCAGAATAAACAACGTTAGGACAAAGCCCATTGTGTATCTGTAAACGGTAAGAAATTATTCATTATTGGAATTTTGTTAAACTTATATCTGGCCGTCGTTATTAACATAATGTTAATAACAAGAATTTTATATATAGAAAGTTAGTGTATTCGGTCTTCTATTGTTCTTTGTATTACGCTGTTGACATAACGTTTTTTTTTTTGTATTCAATATATTTATTTACACTGCGATTTAAACTCCTACAAACATTTGGAAGTAATATTTCTGTGTGGTGGAAAAACTTTCTAAGCAGCCTTCATTTGAGCACTGAACATGTCCCTTTATCCCTGTTACATCTAGCCACTACTGCGGATAAACTAATAGTGTACAGTATATTACGATGTAATTATATATATAAGCTCCTCTATATGTACTCTAATTGTGTGACTATAGGAAATTATGTAAATAAATAATACAACAAAAATAAGATGAGAAGTGAACTTCGTGTATAAAGCACACGAAGTTCACTTCTCATACTCCGATGCTTTTCAAATTAATTTCAAACTCCCATTTCATCTTTTAATGGCTTGATTGTCCCAACTTTCTGAAGTTTAATAACTCATATCCAGTTTTATCATTATACTTGGGACAACAGTATTTTTTCCATAATCTAATATATTGTATGTGTGTAACAGTATATAAATATAGTTGTAATTATTTTACTTACCTTAATTTCCTTACAATGTTAATATAAAATAGATATGCAAAGATTCATAATTTAGTTATATATTAAGTAATATTATTTACTTATAAAAGCATTTTTAGTACTATATTAAAGGTACAGGTATATTTTTATACTTACTTGTATAGAAATTCTCACGTAATTCACTTTTAAAGCAATCTGGTACTACTGCAATTGTAATATTTATTACTTACTAAGTTAGGTATAATTTTAAAATTATACACGCTTAACTACCAAGTTTATATGTTACTGTCAAAGTTTTAACATACAGTAATTTCTTCGATGGTCTAGAATTGTATATTTTACTATACTATGAACGCCGGCTATCGCTGTGTTGTCCTTTCTCGTGGAATTAGGAACAGGTAGTTTTGTTATCAATAGTTACGCTTGTTATAGACTAAACCTTATTTTTCTTAACGACATCGCAAATTTATTTATATAACTTTAATGCACAAAATTCCAGAATTACATGGAGGAATTATAACCTTCTGACATTATCTACGAGTCAAACATTGGTGGCGCAGAGATTAATTGTCGGTTGTGCAAATATAAATAACTATATATATAATACTAACAAATATATATGTATATATATATATATATTAGCATATTAATACATATATTATATTATATAAAATATATATCCATACATACATATCTATTATTCTGATTATGAAATAATAAGTACAGCCACTAATTGTAGAAGGAATACTATACT